AATTTAATTTTACAATTTATGATAAATATTAAATTTAATAGTTAGACAGTATATTTATAGTAATAGAAGTTAATTTTACATGAGATAACAGATTTTACAATTCTATGTTGAATTTCTAACCTATTTTTATCTGTTAAACAATGTTTATGTAAAAACTAGTCTTAAAAATGTCATTATGTGTAATTTATAAAATGCGTTTTATAGTCTGAATAATTCCAACTAAATTCAAACGAGAATAAAAAAAAGCTAGATATATGAGTCAATAATTGTTTCAATTAGTATTGTAAATCGTTCAAAAATTTTAATCCAATAAATGTTGAAGTATCTATTATCGATTCCATTATAATTTATATTACCAAATACCTAGTCGCACATATATGTATATATGTGTATATGTATATATGTATATATGTATTATGTATATATATATACACACTAATATTTTTATGATATAATAAAATATATAGCATTACTATATGTCATATAAAACACTCCAAGACTAAATAATAAGCATTTTATCATTACATAGTTTAATATACAATTAAGTAAAATATAAGTTTATTAAATAGGTAAAAAGATATTTATAGTCACGACCGTTGAAATATTCCTTCATAATTAACTGTTATTAAATAATAAATTATTACATTATTAAAGCTCATTTAAAATTTAAAACTCGTTGCAGTGACTTTTCTATCAGAACTAAATTGCAAATTGTATTATAGATGTATATATATATACGAGTATATAAACCAAATACAAGTCACTCACTGATCATCGCTACATCTAAAAAACGATAAATTGTTTGAACTTAAAATATGACATAATGGTCCAAATACATTCTTGAAAGAAGCGTAATTACGGGGGGAGGGTTCTATCCCACCCTCAGGGCCAAAAAAAAAGTTATGATGGGATATTTAAAAATACTTATTGTTACGTTCTGAGATAAGAGTAAAAACATTACTTATGATTGTGTTATCGTTATGTTCTATAAAAAATGCATGTTTGTATGAATATAAATTGATAACTAATTTATAAAACTATTTTGGTACAAGCTTCTAAGAAAAATATATGAAATAATATTTATAACAAATGTTCGGCCTTACGGATATAATATTACACCTATGATATAACATATTAAGATATAACATTATACCTCAGTCTTAAAATGCTTGTATACCTTACAAAATAAGAGATATTTGAGGGGGGGTTATGACCTGTTAACTCCCCGGTTACACCACTGCTTTTAAGTATTTGATTAGTGAAAAAAGAGCTAGTTATAAATAATTAGTTTTTGAAATGCATTATTTCCCCCCCCCCCCCCAGCAAATTTAAATGTACGCCACTGACTCTAGATTCGCAATAAGAAAGGATTTCCCAAAATGCAATCCCTAAGAAGTAGAAAGTAAAAATGAAATAAATACTTAAATATGAAAATAAGCCTAGCAGAAAACGCTTAGGCTATGACAATGATATTTGGTGAGTAGTTTTGTTTTATAATTTAGAGACTTCACAAAAAAATATTTTATAATATAATCCTTAATTGACTAAAAAAGGTAAAATCCAAAAGAAGTGTAAATGAAAAAAATCACCTAATCGGAAACGCGAAACCTATGACTATGCAATTCTGTGAGTAGTTTCATTTTATAATGTAGAAATATCATAAAAAAGTATTCTTACTCTACATCTCAATAACTACAAAATATATTAACTTGAAATTTGACATAGTTGTTTCTCTAATACTCCAGTCGTGCAATATGATCGGATTTTAAAAAATATTGGCATCGGCAAAGATGATTTCATGGTCCAAAACCGAGTGATTCAGTGTACAACCAAAACTACCATACTGATTCGTTTGAAATTTGGTTTTATTTGTTTTATAATTAAGAGTTGTACCATACTAAGCTTTAAATAGTGCAAGATAATCTATAAAAACTATGTTCTGATGAAGACTGCTCCTTGTAAAGTCGGGTAATTCAGCTATTACAGGAATCGCCAACCAATCGATCGCGATCGACTGGTCGATCTTTTTAGGAATATAGGTCGATCGTTGTAAAATTTAATTTTACCACTATCGGTCGATCGCGTAAAATAATCAGATTAATCGGATAATGGGAAAATTAGATTATTATTATGAAAATACAATAAATAATTATTCTTTGGAGGTTAGATCTTTTATTCTTTTGCTCATCAAACAAATCTCTTCCTAAATACTAAAATTCTCTTGGATATCGATCACCAGGGACTTAAATGTCAAATGTAGCTCACTTGTTTGAAAAGGTTGGCGACCCCTGAGCTAGTATATAATAATAACCAACTAGAAAAGTTTAAGTAGATAAACCACAACACCGTGAAACATTTATCTCAACTTATTTAAAATGTATTGGGTATGACGTTTAATTTTCAGATAACATTATTTCCAATAGTAAATTTGTAACAAAATGCAGCAGTATTTGAAAATATTATTCAATACTTTGCAAGGTTGAATGAAGAACGTATAGAAAAGGTAGCAATTTTTAAAAAAAAAAATTCAAAATCAGCAAACGATTTCTTCTAATAAGCGATTAAAAAATTATTACGTAGGTAATAATAATATATTGTACCGCTTGACGTTTCAACGAAAATTTAACTGTGAGCTATTTTACCGAGAGTGCGATTTGGCTCGGTTTTTTTTCTAAATATAAAAAAAATTACGGAGTGACAGTGGCACCAAAACAAAAACAAATATGCAAATACATATTCTGTAACAGATGACGTCGGTGAATGCAGCGGCAGTTTACACTATAATGTATAATACAGTACACTGATAACATACTCGCGCACGATGCATGGTAAAACACGACGGTAGTCCGGAAGCCACGGTGAACGTCCGGTACATAAAGAGACATTTGTCGCGGTGCAGCGGTAACACGTCGTGTCCCCGCCGTTCCGGTGACCAGAAACCGGTACCAGGATTGAAAAACACGAAATAAAAAAAAATACGCCATAACCGCCGTCTGGAGAGCGCACCAAATTTGGGGGGAACCTCATTACTGGTCAGTGGTGTTGACGGGGAGACACAATGACGCAACAACCACGTGGTATTACGTTGACGGCAATATCAGTTAAAAATTAACGAAGAAAATCTTCGGTCGACCATCCCCGTAGGTTACATCAGTGGTGTACAACCTGGGAGTCACCAATAATTTAACAGCAAATTAAAAAGTTATACATTATGTATTCTATTAAATACATAAAATATATAATATAACTATAAATACATATTACATTTTATAAAACTCTAATTTTGTATTTTTCTTATGTAAAATTCACGATTTAATACATTAAGTATATATTATACATTTACATAATATTGGTTAGAAGGGGAGGTGACCTCATCAAAATAAATTAATTTGAGGGTTTTGGACAAATATTTGGGCGCAAATATTGGGAATGCTGAAAATCAAATTAAATGGTATTTTACTACAATTAGTAAATACTAATTACTATAGATTATATGGATCTAAAAAATAAAAAATCAGAAGGGCTACATTTGAACTTAGGGGTGCTAAAAATCCTATTGCGCCCATGGTTATGGATTAAAAAATATTGTGCAGTGCAGTGCTTACATCGTGCACAACCGCAACGGGGAACTCAGTAAACAATGTAATATCGACAAGCGACGCTCGACGGCGGCTATCGCACGCGCACGCTCTCCGAAACCCAGAGTACGCCGAGCCAACCCGACGACGTTTATGTTATATCAGGCAGTAAAGCCATCGTTTCGCATGTGCGTCAGTGGCTCCACAACCCACGGACATAATACGTTTAACTTTTCGACCTTCTCGCTAAATTTTAAAAAAAACATTTTGAGTATCGTAGGTACTTAGCAGATGAAAATCTTCAGAAAATTAATTTAATTGCATCATATTTATGATATATATTTTTTTGAATTTAAACCGATTCTATGGTATTCGATCGTGTAAGTAACTGTTTTTGTCACCTCAAATTAATAAGACTTTACTACACACTTTCACACTTTACTCTTTTTATTCTACACAAAGTGCGCTGAGGAGTGCCGACAATTTTCAGTTTTCCCATAACGATTTGGATGAAAAACTATTTGAATTTTATCAACATGAAGATTCACGGCCAAGTGTAGTCCGAGGTGGTCTATTTTATTTTCGGAGAGTCTCGATGTGTAACATTATAACCTTGCGCTCGTACAAAATAACTAAAGCCATCATAAAAAATCGTATTATATAACTCATAACACGAATCTATTAGAACTATTCATGACCGTCGGTCGTTACCTACAATATTATATTGCTATCTTATGTGTGTGTATTGTTACTTATTTTTATCACATCAATAATATATTATTACAGGTGAGGTGACAACTTGTTTCTCCCACGTAAATCGAGTTTCTGTAAATTGCACTTCGAAAAAAAAAAAGTACAAACATCATTATACCGTATAACAGGTCTCTTTACGAGAAACTATCGAACGTTTGACGTACAGGGCACATCGTCATAAATTATGAATAAATAGTCGTTTTCTAAGCGTTTTAACGATTTTCATTGTTTTTCCTCTTAATCCGAAATAAATTTAAATATTATTGATTTTAATCGTTCGGAGAGCGTAGAATAATATATTGCGCGTAGTCCAAGATTTTCTGTCGACTTGCAGAATAGCAACGTGAAACAGTAGATCACGAAATCTTAATTTTCAGACCCGATATACTTCTACTATTATTGGCAATCCTTGTTTACAGGGTATCATTTTCCGATGGGTTTGAATTCAAAATTTATAACTCATAATTAACAAATAATTCATAAATTCATAATTTCCGAACTCGCGTTAATTCATCCTTTACGAAGTGCGGATCGTTACTGATTCAAGATGAGGAAACAAAAGGACAAAAATCCCGTGCAGTTATTGTATTGAATACCGCATACAATAGAATATAAAAATAAAAATTACGACCACGCGGTGTGATGAGCGGACGATAATTAATCACTTACCAGCATGTTGGCGACGGTGATGATCGGGATCTATGGCAAACGTGTAGTGGTTATATTATTATAAAGCGGTATAATTATTATCGAGTCGCGGTGAAAAAAAAAAAAAATAACAATAAACAATTTTAACCAACGAAAACGCGCACGTGAATGATTTGACGATGATAACGTAGTGCATACGCGCGTGCATAAACCGTAATGCTGCCGAATCTGTGGCTTCGCGTAGTATATATAATTTAATTACAACAACATCAACAACAACAATAATAATAATAATAATAATCGAGTTCGCGGAAAGGGCACGCGCGTGCTCGCAACGATATTTCGATATTGCGTTTCGGGGTGTGCGCTGCAAGCGTCGTCGCCGTCGTCGTCAGCGTGCGTGCGTGCGTGCGTGTTTGGTGTAAGCGTGGTCGTGCACCAAAGCCGCCGCAGACAACACTACTGCCTACTGGCCACGAACGCCGCCGCCAACGCCGCCGCCGCCGCCGCCGCTGGAGAGTTCGCGAAACGCACACGGACGTGCTTGTGACGTCGCCGCCGCCGCTCGCCCACCCGTCGCGCAGAACACGGCCGATGTTTTATTTATTCAATCCCCCTCCCCTCATTGGTCCCACTTCATCCCGCCCACCAACCACGTATACGGCGAACGTCGCGTCACCCCCTGCAGTACCGCACGTATGTGATAACCCGCGTTTATCGTGTACCACGTTTCGTACGTGAACCGTGGTCGCGTCTTTTTCACCGCCACTGGCGGCGTCTGGCGGCCGTCTGCCACGGTGACCGTCTCCACTCCGCCCATCGTGTCTACCTACCTTTACGGGGTCATTTTTCCTCTCGCCTGAACGTGACGGTGTGCCCACTCGCTGTGTACCTGAGACGCGCGGTCACGGTTGTTTCGCGTACAATCGCTGCGGAAAACGAGAAAAATACAGGCCACCGGAGTGCACCCGCATGACGTACCACCGAACACACAGCGTCACCACCGTCCGGAAGTGCTGCGTGCCCATGCCGACGGTAGCGCGCGTGGTCGACGCCTGATGCGCTGGCGCAGCACTCAACGGTGGCTCGTCTGTAGTTGAGTCGTGTACGCCGAAAAGTTCACATGATTATTGTTTTCCACCGATGATAACCGCGGTCACCGGATCGAATGTGAAAAAATGATGACTATGATCAGGCACGTACACAATGGGTGGGGATATGTTAAGGATTAAATCCCTCCCTCGAAATTCAGGAATATTATTAAATATGTATTTATAGAGTAAAAAATAACTTATAGATTACTTAAGTATGAAAATGTACATCCTAAAATTCCACACAAAATATTTTTTTGTGCAAGCGTCTGGCTACAATGATTACTAAAGGATGTCGTTAACAACGCTTAAGACTTTTGCTATAAAGTCATTTTAGGGTGTCAGTGTAGCGTGCGATCTACCGCTTACATGTGATCTAAATGTGATCTATCCATTAGGCACTATCCAGTTCTTTATCGGTAATTTATTGTTAACGACATAAACGATATATTTCGATGTATTTTAAAAAAAAAGAGGCGTACCTATCAATATGCTTCAGTCACATTTAGAAATGTATTGTTGGAAGATGTGGCGGAAAAGCGAACTAGATTTGTTTATTGCTTTTTTAAATGATATGCGTGCTACATTCATAAATAGCGACTAACTTTTATTTTTTATATTATATGGATGTGATTTTGAAATTGTGATTTTTTAAAAGAAACTTTTATTTGAAATATTTATTTATCGAAACTTATATTACATGGATGTGATTTTTAAATTGCGATTTTTGAAATACGTGTAAGCCCACCTCCTCGTTGTGTATTTTGGGTATTGCTAAGCGGTTCACAAATCGCGTTCACCAAAAACAGGCTGGTAGATCGCTTGCTACACTGGCATTCATTTTAGTGTAGGTACGAAGGATTTGACTTTTGGCTCTCAACATTTCATGCCACTAAAATACCGAGGTAATCAGAATGGTCAATGAAACTGTCTTTCTATACACGTCTGCAAAGTCCACATGCTTAGAAATATGTCTCTAACTAGTTATTACTCATTTGTATCCTATAAACCTATAATAATCACATCATGCATAGGCGACACTTAGCTCTATTTGTATGTGTGTGTGTGTGTGTGTGGGGGGGGGGCAAAAATTAATCATAATTTACTGAGCAATTTAAAAATTTACTCACATTTATGTACATATTATACATTTTTACTTACTATGTGTATGATAACTGATTAGATTAATGGTTCTCAAACTGTGGTACGCGTACCCCTTGGATGTACTCGACATTTTTCAAGGGGTTCGAGTCTGACCAACAAATTTTTAAATTTAAATAGTGGAAAAAACTCCAAAATTTAAGTTAACATTTGCGAATTTCAGACTTAAAACGATACTGTAACTAACCGTTTAATTCATCGTTGATTAAACGGGTCTGCTGTTATACCAAGTACACAGTCGAATATATTAAAATTATATTGGCATGACATTAAGCTATTCTAGGGTTGCCAATCGTACTACATTGGACAGGACTGTCCAACATTTGTTTGATTTGTCCTACATTTAACAATGCTATTACCTTTTTATATGACTATTCTTGTTTCATAAAAATACCTATTTATATTTCATTATTATTATTCTTTTAATTTTATCAATTTATTATTTAATTAAGGTGGTAAACATCCAAGTGCCATAATTAATAAGCTAATTTAATAAAATGTAATAAATGTTTCTGTTAGTTATCATTATAATAGTATATACTGTCGGTTGCAGCATTTTTTACTAAGCTATGCAGTGCCGTAGCTATTAGGGGAATGGATTATGCCCCCTCCATCATAAGCCGTATTATTTATACATATAATCAGTAAAAATAACCATTGTGGTGGTCTTTTTATTTTTTATTTTGCATTATGTGTGGGTCTTTAAATTTTTTATATATATTTTAGTTTACTAACTAAGAAGGGGTACATAAAAAGTTTATTGGTAAAAAGGAGTACAGTGTTTATAAAAGTTTGAGAATCCCTGGATTAGACGATAAGTATATCAATTAATATCAATGTAGTATATTATGTTATATTTTTAAAGTATTGATTAGAGCATTGATTAAATGTACTATATTGTATATTTAATCTATGTACAAGTACATTAATGCATTAGTTTATATTAATTGTAATATTGATAATATTGATCTGACTTAATATGGGGAGTAATTTTCTTATATTATAATTAAATTATAATATAATTTTATATGTATATATTATATTATTATATTATAATTGTACAAACGTAATTTTAACATAAGTATTTTATAAAAATTAAAAATTGTTTAAATAATATTTAACTTAGGAGGGGGCAAAATGATAAGTTTCCCCTTCAATATTTTTTCTGGAGGGACAACTGCCCCCTTGTACCCCCCTAATGCCGCCTATGACATCATGATTATATAATATGCACATTAATTACTAATTATTTACTTATAGAAAACGAAAACTTCTGTGAAATAACAAAACCGTGTTTTGAAAAAAACACACCCTGGTATCATATAAATGAATGACGCTCGCAGTCCGCTAGTTTTCTATAGCACATGGGTTATATTTTATAATCAATAATGCAACTGTACCATACACATGCACACCACACCTCAACTCGTTTTCGATTAGACTATCCGATCCAATGTACAATATCCAAAACTTGAAATAAGTTAAATCAATGTTACGGTCCTTTTCAGTAAGTTTGGTAGATTCCATTTAATTGCTAAACCTAATATAGTTGTTGTAGAGTGAACATAAGAATGAATTTAATTACAACTCTGTACACAAGTTATTGTGTACAGTATTTTTATAGGTCTTTCATATTTGGTATAACTTTTTATTTGAAAATCATTAAAAAATTTATTTTATATTTTTTTATAAAAGTTAATTAAAACAATAACATGTATAGAAATAAGTATATGAATAAAGAGTCAAGTTCGGAAAATCTTTCTTAACCGGTAACCATTTTTTTGTTTTGAAACATTAATTTATCGTTTCTTTTATGGGTATAGGCAGGACCGTATTAGCGCACAGGCACTATAGATATTGTGCCTTGGACCTACAAAAATGTTTGGGCCTAGGAAAATGTGTTATGATTTTTTTGTAGTATGCAAATTGGTATAAAAAAAAAATATGGTTTTTGACAATTTATATTAAATATGTTTAAAATTAAAATGAATTTTTTTAACATTTGTTAAAACTTTTATCTTATAAAAATGTATAATAGTTATCATATAAAAGTTTAGATTTGATTTTTATGTTGTAAATATTATTGTTTTTAAAAGCTTAACACTGCATGAAATTTAACACTTTCTCTCCCAAAGAGAAGGTTTCTTAACCATTTAAATACTGGACAACGGGCCCTGCAAGGACTAGGGGGCTAGGGCCTACGATAGTGTTAATCCGGACCTGGGTATAGGTGTAACCTAATATGCCTAACCCAATAATCGTGAAGATTATACTTTGTTTTGTCTTTTACACCGTGTCCTATGTGAATCCGGTGAGTGCGGCAAACGCATTGCGGTGCGTGCCAGTGGCGTATATATAGGGGTTAACCCCCCCCCCCCCCCCGAAATTTATGGTTAGTACGACCCACGTGTGCATTTCTTTAATCTATGTATTAATTAAAACCAAAATGTCTAGTATGGGAAAAAAATGCTCTCTCCTAATTTTTTAAGCAAATTTACGCCTAATTCTTACCTATGCTTGCCCGGTATGGGGTAATTGTGCATCCTCGCACATCAAAAAAATGCAAATTATCCAAAACAAAGTCCTCAGAATAATTGCAAATGTTCCGTGGTTTGTCAGAAATCCAAATCTGCTATTGATACTTTGAATAAACTCCGTTGATTTTTTTCCAAATATATGGTGCTTAATGTCAATGTTAGTAACTTTACCAGTCTCAACAGCGTCATCAGAAAGATCGTTTTCGATATTGAAAAGATTGAAGTCGTGCTTGAGAAATAGTACAAGCGAAAATCGACTAACAGGATTAGCTAGCTCTCATGTCAATTCATCGAAGTATTTCAATAAACACTGAAGAAGTGATAAATAATTTTGCAAATCTACCTCGAAAATTAGACTTTGTTCTGTAATTAAATTTATGTATTCTAATTTTCATAGTTATTAAAAATAAGTTAATTTATAACCTTCATTTAGTATATATTTTTTCATACCCCCCCCCCCGAAATTAATTTCTATATACACCACTAGTGCGTGCGATGCGGCGACCAAAATAAATAAATCTGTGGTAACATGTCAGCGTTTCTAATGTACCGCCGCTATCGCCGCACATGCGGGCAATCGAATTCGTTCGCACGCACTGGATGATTTGAAAAACAAATCATTTTGTTTTTGTTGCCGCACATCGTTGCGTTTAGTGCGCTTGTACTATTTAATATGGAAAGTTGTGAACTTTTGATATCCGAAGTGCAAAAGCGAAGTGCGTTATGGAACAAG